TCTCCTGACCAGCTATGCTAGCTCTCTCGCTCTCTCTCTCTCACACACACACACACACACACACACACACATTGGTCGTCGAAGTCTTGATGTTGCAAACCGTGGCAGTTGAAAGAGTTAATCAAAATATTATTTCCTTCACGAATAGCGGCATATGCTTTAAATAGACTGTAAATGCGAAGCCCCGTTATGTCCGACACACTCTTGCGTAAATCATTGGGAATCATAAACACTTGCCTTTGCTTCCAACGAAATCACATAAATGTCAGGATGGCCGGTGAGATAATGCGGTGGTCTCGTTATACACAACACCTTCCACTGGAAACATAAACACGAGCATATGTTTGGGGCCTTTACTGGTTACGGGGACACCATGGCTCCATTTCCTCCGATGTTTTTCCAGCTAGGTGTGGGAACCATGAGAGGCGAAACATATGGCGAAAACCTCGTGACTCCCCGAAAATAGAAATACTGTACCTGTAAGCCACAGGTGTCAAATTCAAGGCCCGGGGGCCAGATCTGGCCCGCCACCTCATTTTATGTGACCCGCGAAAGTAAATCAAGTATGTCAAGTTCCATGATGCTTGCTAAAGTCTGAGCCAACATTTCAAATTGTCATATGCAATCCACAATAAGTCATTATTCTTGACTTCTGATTTTGAAACTAGTTATTCATCAATTTATTGTGCGGTGTGTATGTAATATGTGGAGCGGATTAAACATTTATCTGATTTCCCAAAATTCATAACGGCTCTCCAAGGGGAACCGTAACTGCAATGTGGCCCGTGACAACAATGAGTTTGACACCCCTGCTGTAAGCAGTGGAACCGTACTCCCACAAAGGCATCTTGTCATGCTTATCCGTTGTACTGACGAATGCCCACTTGTATTATTTTTGGAACATCGTGTCACATTTCTGACATTTTTTATTTTGCCAGGCTCCCAATTCTGCTGAGATGCTCATAAGTGGACGATACATACCCATAAGATCTATTTCCAACTACCGGTTTCGCCTTTTAATGAGAGCATCTGACAGTTCCTCAATCCTAATCTGACCTGGTTCAGTATGTTTTTTTTAAAAAATTTTTTCATCCAGTCTTTTCAAAAGTGAAAACAGACCCATTTTGAAGAGATGGATTTCCTCCAAGTACGCCGGCAGCCCACATACAAGCAAGTTAGGTGAATTGAAGACGTGTTCTGCATTTGTCTTTGTTCCTCTTTAGGTTCCCACCCACTCTCTTTCCTTCTTTTATCTCCTTTGCAATCATTCTCATCCTGCCCGTTTCCCAGATGACCGAGGTCGACGTGACAAGCCTTGTTTTCGATGGTTCCGCTGTCCTCTAATGAAGATGGACAGTTAATAGCTCAGTGACCTTAATCCACGTGCTTGCAAAGGAGGTTTTCGTCTCTTCGGTAAAATCAACTTAAAGTAGCGGCATGACTAATTTGGCTTGCCTTATCTGGCGTTTTCAATCGACCCCATTTTCCAGGCTCCCCTTTGCCCTCTCTCTCACTCACTATCTCTCGTGTAAACAAGCAAAATGAAACATTTCCGCAGCCCAAACATGATGTCCTCTGAATGTAATCCAAAAGTGATTCATTCGCCACAATTAGATCAATGCATGTTTTTACTTTTAATTTATGTGGTCGCTTTTTATGGGGGGGCACATGCTAGGTATATAGAAACTCTTAGCGGCTTGTTCCTGCCATTATTTCATCGTCATCATCCATTTGAAACTTATCACATGTTCACTGAAAAGGCTTTCATGGGAGCACAACTTGAAATTGTCGTTCTGACATATGAATAGGAATGCATGAATTACATTCTAAGTCACAAAAAAGTCATATACGTAGCGGCTAAAGCCGTGCACTCGTGTGCATAAAGTGGATGCAGCTAATGTTCTGTAATTGCCCCTAATGAGTATAATTGACCTGAAATCTTCACAGGACTCCATCTGAAGACGCAAGCTAGCAGATGCAAAATAAAATGGAAGATACTGCCAATGATTCAACTTCCCACCGGGCCAGTAAAGAAGGGAAAATGTTGACATGAATGACCCCGTAAAATAAAAAAAAACCCACAAATTTTTGTCAAAATAATTTCAGTCAAATGTATATGGACAACAGAAACACTCAGGACGAAATGAATTCATTCTCATTTTAAACTTGCAACATTTATCATGAATGTAAGTAGAATGGATCAGCCAATTCCTGTATTTGATTTAATAAAAATGACTAATGTACCGATAACAATTTTATTTTACAAGTACACGATACACCAGCTTAAACAATTATTTTGAGATAATTGAATTTGAAAAATGAAAAAAACACAAACTGCAAAATTAATGAAACAAATCATCTGAGACTCTTGGTCATGTACCGTAAATGCTCAGTGGGCCAGATTAAAAGAACAGGCTGTTAAAAAAAAAAAAAAAAATCATTCATGCAAACAACCATCTTTTTCTTTTAAAATCAAGTTTTACAAACTTTCTGCCTGTGTTGTCATCCACCTTGGCAACTCTCGTGTATTACCAAAGTCAAAAATAAGATGAGAACGTTGGGCTTTCCCATTTTGTCAGAACAGGAAGTTTGCCAGACAATCTGTATCTCTCTCTCGCTCGCTCTCTCACATTCTCTCATATTCTCTCTGCCTTATCCCATGTCATCCTGCGCCACATCCTCTGTTCTCACCTCCTACGTCTCTTCTCTCCTTTCGTATCATGCTCTCATATTCGACCATCGAATTACAATCTGCCTTTTAGCAATAATGCAAAAACGTTAGCGTACAGTCAGCGCTCTGTGCGGGAGTCCAACTTGAAGTCAGGGGGCGACTGTGGGGAGGGACCATGAGACAGTCACGGTTCGTTTGTGACGCGAAAGGCTTTCTGAATCACGGGCCAGGAATAACAAAGCAAAGACTCTCTCACTGTGTTGCCTTAAACACTCCGATCCCACCGTGGGTCATCACAGGGTGTATGGGGGGGGGGTTCTGTAATACACACTTGAGTTCACATCGGAAAGCCAGAGAGGATGGCCTTAGTATTAAAAATAAAACAAATTAATTAATTAATCGTGGATCGACCTCAGCATGTCTTCATAAATACTTAAAGTACTTCCTGTGTTGGAAAGGAAATGTGTTCCTAGGGAATACAAGTGCAAAACGCTCCCATGCCTGTGATTATGATCCATTCTGCTGTGGTTTAAAAAGGGGAGCGCCAAAAATAACAACATGGCAAGGATGCTCCTCACTTTTAGCTCGGGGAGAATTAGAATTCAAAGCAGGCAAATGAGTAGTACTGGTCTCGCGCTCTGTCATTAGCGCGTGCCGCACCTTTTTCTTGGTACCAGCACGTGTTTAATGCTTATGCAGACAGTTACTGTTGTCGTGGTGTTTTTCAAACATATTTACTCGTAATATGACATTTTGTTTCTGCAGAGGCGTAAAAGTACGCCACAGGGCATGAGCTCACTGACCGTCGCCGCACATATTCTTTTTCTGTTTGATTACTTGACAGTGAAGGGCAGCGTTTTGTCGCCATCTCGAAGCATCTTGCTGTCAAGAAAGTGTGTTGGAGTGAGTTGAGGAGTTCCAGTTAGATGTAAGTCATGCTTTGCTGCCATCTTGTGTAGGGATAGGTCGCTTATTGGCATGGCCCTTTTGGGGGGGGAGACTGACAGCCGGTAAGATTCAAAGGGGAATCTGAAAACTTCTTCATTAAACATAAAAAAAGACATTTCAAGACAGTTAAGAGCTTTTTTGGGGGGGGTGGGGGGTGAATATTGTCCCTTTTACCGAAAATGAATATCGGCTCCAATTATTGGTTATCGACCTCCATTACTACAAATAATTGGTATTAATTGGTCTCTAATCTTGTAGCCTCATTAGGCAATTCCAAACTTTTCATGGCCGCGTGTCAATCACTCGCAGATTTGCACGCTTTGAGGCAGGGCACGCTCACTATTGTCTCAGTGTTTTGATTCCGAGACAAATATTTCCTGTAATTATGACTCCTGCGGTAATAATAGATTGCAGCAAGTTACAAGTTGCCCAAATGTTTGTCGTACATCACTATAGGAACAGAACTTTGTCATCAACTGAGGTCTTGATTTTTTGTTGTTGTTGTTGTGACTTCACCAGGCTACTCTCCATATAGCACACGGAGGCAAAACCAACACAATTTCCAAAACCACTGTGGCAAGTGGTTCACACATCATCGTGAGACAGGCTCATAAAACCACTGAATGAACGTCAGATAAGGAGACATGCAGGAAGTTGGGCAAACACGTAACCCCCCCGCACCCCCGGCCCCTCCCCCATCATTTGACCTTGTGAGGGTATTGCAGCTGTTTTACGATGACTTCATAACCGTGGAAAGCCACTATTTGTCATGTCTGCATGTGTTCAACCCGCCAGAGTAGATTTTTGGATGGTGAGTCACAGAAAATGGAGACTGTACAGTCAGGCAGATACATATACCCCCCCCCCCCACACACACACACACCTCCGATTCCCTCAGGCCAAAATTCGCCCCCTTGATGTACTCATTCACACACAGACATACGGTGGGTAAAACATCACATTAGCGTCTGATGGTTGGAAGTCGTGCGTGCAAAATGTGTGTGACTGTCCTCTTCGATAGACTTTAACGTTTACAATTCAGTATGACTGCTCTCCATGTCAGTTTGCTGACATCACTTCCGGTGGACAGTCTATTCTTTGTCATCCCAACCAAATTACAAGTTTCACGCCATTAGTTCAGAACCCAAAAAGCAAATGGGTGGTTAATTCATTGTAATTTATTAGACACTACAATTAAAATGACTGGGGTGCCCCCCCCCCGGCCCGCAAATCTACGAATGAGCTAGCACAAGGGGAAGTAAAATACAATCAAGCAGACACAAATGAAAAGGTTGAAGAGTATCAGAAATATATGGCTGTGAGTATTGTTTAATTTTCTGTGCTGCTGCACCTTTTATATTCAGATATCTGTTTCTTACAGCATTCTATTACCACCACATGGACGCCATTCATAAGACCATCTTTTGTTCGTATTAAGTTAGGCGGACTGTATTGAGAAAAAGCTGTGTTATTGTTTTGAATACAGATAGCATGATTCTCTTTGTTTTATGTTTAGTTTGACATTAAATTAGATGGGCAACTTGAAGCCTCTTTTTTAATATATTTAGTGTTTTTTGGGGGGGTGGGTGATTATAAGTGGTACTGAATCATCGTGTCTGACTTGGAAAAGTAGACAGCAAGGAGGACGAGATGAAGAGAGCAACAAGCGTGGTGCCCTAATCAAAGATTGCAGCATTGTTGGCGTCCTATCAGCACCATGGAAACAGCACGCACAAACATTCAGGTGAAGGCTGATCTCTGTTGTCCCAACACTTGGATGACAAGATTGGAGAACATCCTTCCAGGCGCTGAAGTGACTGTTGGAATGTTGAGGGAAGCGTTGGCCTTCAAAGTCGAGTGAGGTCACTCAAACACCCGCAGCAACAGCAACATTTGGACGCTCCGTATCCTTTGAGGCAGGGTTTTTCTTCAGTGGCACGTCATTATCTCCCGGTTCTTGCTTTTTAATTCATGACTTGCCAACCAAATACATGGCAGGATTCCCGTTCAGTAGTGCCGTGTGACTCTCCCTTCAGGTGCTTGAACTAATCACTCCACACGTCATTTATCAAAAAGGATGACAGTCTCTGCATTTTCACTGGCATCAGGATCGGAATGTTTTCCCTCTCATCCTCCCTAAAAGGCTGAATACCTCATTTGTGATACGCGAGTTTTTAAAGCCTCTACATCAGCGTTTAGCCAAGTCCTGTCCTATTCCAGCCTGTTTTAGAAGTCTCCCTTCTCCAACACGCTCGATTCAATTGATTGGGATCATTAATCAGACTTCTGCAATGCTTGCCGGTGATCATTTGAGTCAGGACCAGACTTTTTTTTTTCGGGATGGGGGTGTTGGGGTTATTGAAAAGCCAGATGTATGTAATAAAATACATTCATTGTGTGGATAATCCACCGGGGGGGAGCATAATTACAGTAATTTATTCTTCGGGACAGAGCAGTGTTTCCCAATCTTTTTGGAGCCCAGGCACCCTTTTTACAGTACAGTACTTCTCATGGTACTCCCACAAATATCAAAATCTTTTTTTGTCTTTCCACAGTCCAGTCCAGTCATTGATGAGCTCTTGGTGTTTAAAAAAAAAAAAAAAAAAAAGGAGGCCAGAGCAAGTGGGGGAGTTGGTGTGAGCCGGCATTGGGAGGTGTGGGGGAGGAGCTTCCCACTGTGATGAAGTGAGGTACCTAGGGGGGAACATGAGAGGGGGCGGGGTGCCCTCTGACACGACCTCGTCACATGAGAGCGGGAGCGCGGAAGGCCGCTGACAGCACACCAGGTTAAGGTAAGACTTGCTCGTTTAGGGATTTCATTCACCTCAATGCTGGTTTACGATTAGCATGTATTCGCGTTGTTACAGGGAAAGAAGGATTAGATGGAGAAAAAGAAGCAATAATCACCGTCGTAAAGGCAGTTTGTTTGGTACATGATGAAAGAGAGCAAGTATTCTAGAAATTCACCTGGACAATGTGCTGTCACTAAGCGACATTTCAGCACGTGACTGACACCTTTCACGGCTCTCTCTCTCTATATCTCTCGCTCTCTCACTTTCTCTCACACAATATCACACATACATGTTCAGCCACATGAAGACTGAATGTATTTCACATCGATGCGCTGTTGCTGCCCATACTTGATGTTTTATCTTCAACAAGGCGCTCCTTTCATATTGTAATCAACACAAACTGATTTTAGGGGAAAATGTGTGATGAGTCATCAACAAAACGATCAGGTAACAGTGTTGTCACCATGGTTGGGTACAAGGCTCCTTCAGTATAATTTTAACAAATGAAACCAACATCTTTATTCTTTATTGTTAAACTTTACTCTTTTTTTTTTTTTTTAAATAGCAACAAAAACACAACATGCTAATGACGAATATGAGCATATCTGAACACGGATGACCGCTGATACTGCTCCATGTGACTTCATTCGCACTGAAGTCTACATTTTAAGTTACTTTGAATATTTTCAATAAACAAGTCAAATATATTTCACTCTCACTATTTTCACCGTAATACTGTAGGTTACTTGTGCCTTATACAATATCAGAGGTGAAATGACACTTTTGGTGAATATTAACAAGACTGAGAAATGATGCCCAAACAAGCGGTGACATTTTTCTTCTTTATTTAGTGCTGCACTTCCCTCAAGTGTTCATGATTGGGAGTGTTTTGAGATAATCCCATTCGGTATTTCTTCACGATTTCTAAGGTTTACTCTCTTGCACAATACACGTTTAAATATGATGCAATGAGATTTGGACACAGTTGTTGAAGAAAAGTGTATTTTGTCTTTTTGGCAGGTTATGTCTCTGTCAGGAGGGTGCAAGTAGTCCTGAGAAAATGAGCATTTGCAACCGGTGAGTGAACAACGACCACTTTTTAAAACTCATTTTTTTGAAATGATAGTTATTGCTCTACCATTATAAATATATGGCTTGATGATTATTTTCAGAAAAAAATGATTTTTGCCTCAGTATGGTGGCTTATTATGCTGGAAGTTTACCTACATCAGTCCTTCTTTACGTTTTTCCACCAGTTAGGCGACCACTTTAAAAAATCTTTGATCTTTCAAACATTCGTGCAAACAAAAAACACAGAGTGACTTTTTTGAGCTGAAAAATTGTTGAACAAATCAATGTCTCAAAGAATGTTGATTTATTCATGATGTATTGTTCGGTGTGTGTTTTTTTAAAACATGTTTTTATGATTATTTAGTTTGAAAAGTATTTTGTGTTGTGATTTAAATTGACATTTATTTTTGGTTTCCCGAACACTTTAAACCACAGACAACATGACCCTGTCTCTGCTAGCCTGGCAGCAAAAATTCTGAACTTTTGGAGATTCTCCAATTTCTTTGAAAATAATATTTGTAGGACATTTATTGAAATACCCTAGCATGGATTTCAAGTTTCAAGTTTGTCATCATGTGATGTAGGACAGGGGCCTGCTGGGGGTTGTTTCTAATGTTGCATCCCACAGAGAGGGGGGGCAGTGTGCCGAGATGGCCATGGTATGCCTCACAGACTTTGAGGAATACGCCAAGGAGCACCTGTCCAAGGCCACGTGGGACTACTACGCTGCCGGAGCCGACGAGTGCTGCACCCGAGATGACAACCTGTTGGCCTTCAAGCGGTACCGAAACCTTGGCTACGGGCCTCACTAGAATAAGGAGTGTTTCTCAGCAGCCCTTATCAATTCTTATGTTCGCGTTGTCTCCGTGTGCAGGATCCGCCTGAGACCTCGCATCCTGCGCGACGTGTCGGTGAGCGACACCCGGACTACGGTGCAGGGTGCAGAGATCAGCTTCCCGGTGGGCATCGCGCCGACTGCCTTCCATTGTCTGGCGTGGCACGAGGGTGAGATGGCCACAGCGAGAGGTGAGTCACGCTTTTTTTTTTTTTTTAAATACATTTTTTAAAACACTGTCTGAGGCCTTTAGCATTAGGCGATATTCATATGTATGAACTGCAGATTTTCACCACTAGGTGGCAGCATATGATCGCAATCATTACCTTTGTTGAGTGGCTGCTGTTTTTAATGCTTGCTCGAAAGCCTTTTTCACAACCTTGAATCTTGTTTCAAAGCAAACCCTGACTAGAAACCATAATGCAACGCTAATTTCAAACCTTAACCCTGGCCGGATGGGGTTGGAGTTAAAGTTAGTTATACTTGGTGAGGTTTGCTTAGAACTAACTACAAAGAGTAATTGGGCATTGTATTTCCTCCACTATACAGCCACCGAGGCACTAAACACATGCTACATCACCAGCACGTACTCCACCTGCTCGGTGGAGGAGATTGTGGCGGCGGCGCCTAACGGCTACCGCTGGTTTCAGCTCTACGTGTACCGTGACCGCAAGCTGTCGGAGCAGATCGTGCACCGCGTGGAGGCGCTGGGCTTCAAGGCCCTGGTGCTCACCGTGGACGTGCCGTACACGGGCAAACGGCGCAACGACATCCGCAACCAGTTCAAGCTGCCGCCGCATCTCAAGGTCAAGAACTTTGATGGCGCCTTTCAGGTGAATGGGCGGTGCATTTTCCAGCGAGGATGAATGTGTATGCGTCAGAGTGATTCCACAAGAGTTTGACACTGTATCCCACAATCTGAGCGCTGCGCCTAATAATGTGTAGCGTGAGTGTAGATTGAAATGACAAGTGTGGGACTAAAAACAAAATCTATACCTATCAGGAGGTGGCCGGACCGGAGGAGTACGGGATCCCGGCCAACACTTTGGACCCGTCTGTTAGCTGGAAGGACATTTACTGGCTGCAGTCCATCACGCGGCTGCCAATCATCATCAAGGGCATCCTGACCAAGGAGGACGCCGAGCTGGCGGTGGAGCACGGCGTGCAGGGCATCATCGTGTCCAACCACGGTGGAAGACAACTGGACGGCGGCCCGGCCTCAGTAAGATGTATTCATGATTGTTTTTTTTTTTTTTTTTTTTTTTTAATTATTATTATTCATTCATCCCAGCAAATATTTCAGAATTTGAACCATTATTGTCATTGCAGCGTACAACAAAATGGGGAATATCCATTGTAATATGAATCAATCATAAACAATTTTACATATACCTTGTGAACATTTTTAATCAATTTACTGATTAATGATGATGGAATTGAGATTTTATTCAAATGGACTATGTTACACGCACATTTGACTTTTTGTAAGATAGAAATAAGAAATGGTGTTCCCCTTGAGTACAAAAGTTTGCCCACCTGATCTCACACCGTAAACTGAGCTATCACGCCGCCTTGTTCAAAGAGTCTCTGTCACGTGCTTTTCTCATGTAGTGGTGCACGCCTGAGGCAAGGCGACCTCGGCAAAATAGTCGCTCGGATCCGGGTTTTCCACCATGTGGCCAAATCACTACTTGAGGAACTTTTCAGGAGCGTATAAATACAGAGCTGTTTGGTTGCCGTGTCTACAGATCGACGCCCTGTCTGAGATCGTGGACACGGTCCAGGGCCGCATCGAGATCTACCTGGACGGGGGCATCCGCACGGGCAGCGATGTGCTGAAGGCGTTGGCCTTGGGGGCCAGGTGTGTGTTCATTGGCCGCCCGGCAGTGTGGGGCCTTGCATACAAGGTACGTCATTTGGTGTGTGTGTGTGCGTGCGCGTCTGTGTGCGTGTGTCCTTCAATGCTGTGAAATCCCTTCCACTCGTATCATGACCCACTGAAGATAAATCTCCTATCAGTCTCGGTGACAGATTATTTTGATGTCTATTTGGTGGCAGTAGGGGGCACCGTGAGCTGGATTATGTTTGCTTGTGGCCATGGCGGTTACATAGTAACATGAAGTACAAGTGCAATGACAAAAATGCATGTATTATAGTTATATGAAATGATTATTATGAAGGCAAAACCTTTTTAACAGATAATCTCAAAAAGTTCAATACGGCAGACGTATAATGAAAACAATGTTAGAAATGCCGAGATGTTTTTTTAAAAATAAATGCATTTATATGAATACAGTATTAAACATGTAATTATTTAGAAATTTTTCTAAATAAAAACTAATTTTAAAAAATTTCACCAAAAGATATTTTGGTGAAATTCCTAACCGGTGCAGTATTTATGGACCAAAGATTTGCTATTGTGTTGTAGGACTCCGCTGTTCCAGATTATGGGCTATTCCTTAATTTTTCGTCTCTCATCTTTTCAGGGGGAGGAAGGCGTGAGGGAGGTGCTGCAAATTCTAAACGACGAGTTCCGCCTCTCCATGGCTTTATCGGGTGAGTGGAAACAACCGGTCTGAATGACAACCGCCATCATCGTTCCGCTGTGGAAAGCCTCCGTTTTGTTGCTGCAGGTTGCCGGAATGTGGCGGAAATCAACAGGAACCTCATCCAGTTTTCCAAACTGTGACCCACCTGCGGAAAGCAGGGAGACATTTGTCATGGAGCCAACACTTGTTTTGACTGTTTCCAACACAGAAAGGAGAAGAACAAACTCTACCTTTGAGCTTCACTCAACTCAAATCAACTCGACTGTATTTAGAGAGCACAACCAACGCCTTAGACAAAGTGCTGTACATGGAGCAAAAATAATTCAGACAACAACAAACAAAACAATAACCAAGACAGTAGAAAGCACAAAAATAGTCAAACCAAAAATCAAGCTACTTATAAATTCATTTTATTTACCCTGGAGCTTTTCTAAATATGCTACTAAATATGCAAAAATGTCTTACCCCACCTTCTGCTCTGTGTCAGGGTCCAAAATTGTGAAAATATCACATGAATTATTCCCAAGTAGCTGTTTAAAAAATGGTCACCTTACAACATATTGCTCCTGTTTTCGGTCTGAATGTCGAGATGGGATTCGGCTGCTGTTCGGTGCAGGGGCTGAGATATTCTGGTGGGTCACAGGGTCTCTGACCACCCCAAAATCTTGTAGGAGCCTTATAGAAAGCTGCCTTGATTGACTGATTTTGGTGTTCTTGATAAAAATCAAAGTAAAAACATTTCAAAGTGGCCCTTGGCGTGCTTCGGTCTTTCTGTATGTGGCCCAGCGTGGATGTACACTGATAGACAATACTGATGTCCTCTTAAAGGTCACCTGTGAGATGGAGCCTCTATTGCCAATACTCACTCGGCTGGGATAAACTCTAGCTTCACCCACAACCCGAATGAGCATATCTGCAATGACCGCATCATTTCTATCTCGTAGCTCACAACCTCACAAAATGCAAATTTCGACTACAGCGGAATGTGTGGCCTCAAAAGAGAAGTAACACAGGAAGTGAGTTGGGTCTCGTCGAGGCCGCGGTGAAAAGTCGCCCAAACGCTCTTGACTCGACACATGCCACCCTCGCGACTGGGCGGCTGACATTTTGTTGCCCGCAGCGCTTTTTCCACAGCGTCAGGCTGGAGGGAGGAGGACTGGCGTCCAGTCTGCTCAGGAGGATTTCGGCCAGGTAAGCCCGAAAAATGCTTGCTGTGATGAAATCAAGAGTTTGCTGACACTTCCTCCTTGGTCACAATGTGCGTTTGGAAATAGAAAGCATAGTTGCACCGTTTTGGTGCACAACGGTATGAGGTTTTGCATTGAATGTGCTTTAAAGTGCTTTTACCATCAGGTGGATCGAGAAGACGTCGAAAGTTTTGCTGCCCCTATTGTTAAAATGCACGGTTTTACTGTTGTGAAAGTTTGGAAATCGGTTGAGGAGGCAGCACATTGGTTCCCGTGGAAATCTTGGCACTTCATTCACACTGCAATCATTGGTGGGATTCGCCCCAAATTTCCTGTTTTAATTTGGATCAGGGTTGCTCGAGACTTTTTGTCAAAGTGGTGTGTAAGGGTGATTCCCACAAAGCATGAATGCTGGAATTTGTCCAAAGCAGTCGATTGTCTTTTCGATTTGAGGCATAGGCCCTCGAGACTTTTTTTGTGCAACCTGTTACAATAGACATTTAAACCTCATTATTTTTTGGTCAGAGAAAGTGATCTTGGTGACTTTTTTCCTAACCTAACGAAGCAAACAAATTGGATGCGCTTCAAACCAAAATGGCCAAATTATGGTTTAATTTCATACAGAGGTCCCGAGATGTTTTTTGCGTCCCCGCATGACAATAAATCAATTTTGTGCTGAGTAATTCAATTTGTATTGAAGAATCTATTTTCAAACTTTCCAGGGGTGCTACTCAGCCAGTTCCATTGGGCAAAAATGAACTTTGGAAACCATTTTGGCGGATTGCTACCATATTTCAACCATCTATCGTAGACAAACGGGCAACACATTTTTTTTTTTGCCATTGTGCACCGAGCATGGCGGTGTTGAGTCACCATGGAGTATCGCGGTCAAGGTTGATATCAAATCTACAGATGTCAATTCATGCAATGGTGATGAAGGTGAAGAAGAGAATCTTGCATGGGTACACACTGAATTGAACATTGTTCTTCATTGCGTCCATGTAGGAAGTCGCACCAGTGTGGGAACAGCCCTCGAGCTCACGACGCCAACGACATGGGGTAAGGTGTTTTGTGCATACGATATGACACAGGAAGCTGCTATTTGGCCGTTTCCGGGGATCCTTCAAAGAAGGACTCGTGCTCAATTCTTGTCTGACTACCACCCAATTTGAACCACAAATGTACTGGATGACTCTGAACCGCAAAACCTTTTTCGTCATTGCATGTGGCCAGACCACGGCGGTGAAATTTAAAAGAGTAGAACGCCAACCTTATTCTTGTAACTCAGCGCCGCAAGCTCAGAACCTGACAAATGTTTCACATGGTCATATACATTTTAGTGTCTATCTTAAGCACTCACCCAAAAAAAAAACTGCTTTTGAAGGCGCACATAGTCGCCTCGCGCTAAATTCCTTAGAATTGGATTTTTCTGCTTTGTATATGCGCCGAGTATGTCAACGTTTGATTTTAGCCGCGAAGGCAGAACATCCGAGGGTAGCGCCCCAGTGACCAACCTCAGCTTTTGCCACCGCAGGGTCGGAGACGAGAGCGGACCAGGGAGGCTGAGCCGTCGCTTTTCCCGCTTGAGCGGTAGGCGACAATCCAGGGCGGTGGGTCAACCCGACAGATCTCCCGCGCCGCTCCCGGGCCCACCGGCTCGGCAAGGTGAGTGCTCACCACCGCGCACGTGAAAGAACGCTGAAGAAAAGGTTGAGGATGATGGTTTTTCTTTCCGACTTTTTTTTTATCCCTGATCCCTTCATCAAACGCCACTGTCTCTCTCCATTTGTTGTGTTGTACATCATCTTTTAAGAGCCCAGAAGGTCTGCTGCCCTGAGTTGAGGTAGTGTTCTGTTTGGTTGTGCTAGATGACAGGCTTCCTCTACCAGACCCAGCCCCACCTCCAGCACCGGTTGTGCCTCGAGTTCCATCTCCAGCTCCGGTGAACCTTGCCCCCGCCCAGAAAAAGCCTCCCAAACATCCGGACAAAGCTACCAAGCCCAAACTGCCTCCTCGGCCTCTTTCCAAGGTGTTCAGTAGTACTGAACACGGCTCAGCTGTGCTACAGGTACAACCCAAGACTCCAGTCTTGCACAACCCGAGATTCAAACGTCTATTTTTTTTATTCGACAGGGTTTGAATGCTTTCCGGGCAAGTGACATCTTGTGCGATGTGGTGTTGGTTCCCGGAGACAGTCAGGAAACTTTTCCAGTCCATCGAGTCATCATGGCGTCATGCAGTGACTACTTCAAGGCCATGTTCACAGGTAAGTCATCGTCTGCGATGCAGATATGAAGCTTTGCCGAGCTGGGCATCCGTGCCTGAATGCTCTCCGTGTGCTCTTGCGATTCGGAGCAGAGCGGACAAAAGTATTTGAGTACTGATACAGATTTATTTACTCTTCTTCACTTACCTTCAAATATATTTAACGTATTAGTAAAAGGAAATTATTTTATCGGGTCTTCAAAGAAGAAGTAAAACAAGTACAGCCTCTGCACTGTACTTTTTTTCAGATAAGATGGTTTTCGAATGCCAGAAGCTGGTGTTTTTTTTTTTGTTTTGTTTTGTTTTTTTTTTTTGGCAGGCAAAGACACGATTCACCATAAATCATTGCTGTAGCTGACAACATCAAACAATTCTTTTCAAGAAGGCCATGTATGGGCATTATCCATTTCCTTCATCTGCTCCCTGGTTCCCTTCCATGTCGTTGTTGTCCCAGTTTTTTTTTTTTTTTCTGCCTTGTGAAGACTCCAAGTTGTGTCTTTTTTACCTTGTGCTGTCATCCATGGAGGTCGAAAAAATGAACAAACTTATTTTGACTGTAAGGAGTCGAAAGTACAGATGCAGGGAGGGAAAAAGGAAAACAGGTTTAGAAAAATAAATACTCAAGTAGAACACAGACACCTACAAAATCGACTCAGATACAGTTCAGTAAAAAAAAGTCCACCGTTCACTGTTCAGGGGGAATGCGCGAGACGGATATGCGCGAGATCAAGCTGCATGGTGTCACCAAGTTGGGCCTCAAGAACATTTTAGACTTCATCTACACATCCAAAGTCAGCCTGGACATGGGCAACCTTCAGGACACCTTGGAGGCCGCCAACTTCTTGCAGGTCATGCCGGTGCTCAGCTTCTGCAATCAGCTTCTGAGCAGGGAGGTGAGCCTCACTCAAATTCATCAAATACGAGACAATGCCATTTGTAGAGTCCCAACACCTCGCCTCTGTCTCCTCATGAGCCAGATCACGGTTGATAATTGCGTGGAGGTGGAGAGCATCGCATCTGACTTACTCCTGGAGGATGTGCAGAAGAATATCGGTGGGTTCGAATATATATTAGTGTCATGCTTGGAAACGTTTTGTATACTAAAAAAAATGGATGGACAAATACCCATAAGAAAGATGATTAACCTTCACTGTTTTTTTTTTGGGGGGGGTTAGCTGACTTTGTGAGCCACAACCTGTCCGCCCTGGTGCAGTGCGGGCGCTACTTGCAGCTCTCTGAGAAAACCATCGCTGGAGCCCTGGCCAGCAACTCTCTGAAGGGCTTCTCGGAAATGGAGCTTTACCACATCGCCAAAGGCTGGCTGGCTCACGACTTCGCCGGGCGCCGCCATTCCGTCTACTCCTTGATGCGTCACATCCGCTTCCCTCTGATGAGCCCGTCCGACTTGATCCAGATCTCCCACCCAGGCGACGACCGGGACGATGAGACCGACTCGCTGATGCGTTCCGAGACCTCCTGCGTCAACCTGCTGCTGGAGGCCAGTAACTACCAGATGATGCCCTTCATGCAGCCGGCCCTCCAAAGCGAGCGCACGCGGATCCGCTCGGACGCCACCCACATCGTGGCGCTGGGCGGCGTCATGCGGCAGCAACTGGTGGTGAGTCGTGAGCTGAGAATGTACGACGACAAGACGGGTCACTGGAGAGCCCTCAGGCCCATGGAGGTGCCTTGCTACCAGCACGGCGTGGCCCTGCTCGGCGGCTTTCTCTTCATCGTCGGAGGTGGGCGCAGCAAAACGTGGATGGCGTCGAAACTAAAACTGAAGATTTTTTGGGTGACGTCACACTTGTCTCCTCAGGTCAGAGTACGTACGACACCAAAGGTAAGACGGCCATCGATAGCGCCTACCGCTACGACCCGCGCTTCAACGTGTGGCTTCAGATCGCTTCGCTTAAAGAGAAGAGAACCTTCTTCCACCTGAGCGCTCTGAAGGGCAAACTGTACGCCATTGGTGGCAGGAATTCGGTGGGAGAGATCGGTGAGCAGATTATTTTGCCAAAGTATCCTTGAAATAGTTTTAGCCCTAAGTTTAACTCAAAAGATGGTTGGCCAAGTTGACTTCACACCAGCCCCACTCAATATTGTTCACCTTTTGTTGTTCAGTCTTAAATTGCAAACGGTGGTAAATGCCAACGCTGCGCATGCTAGATCAGTTGACGCTAAACTAGTTTCTGCTCAAACTTCAGACTCGGTGGAGTCCTACAACCTGAAGACAAACGAGTGGACCTTTGTGAGCAGCATGGCCGAGTCTCACTACGGGCACGCCGGGACGGTGCATGGCGACATGTTGTACATCTCAGGTAACGCCAATAAAATATTAGCCTGTAAAAATGTAACAACACAAACGTGCAGTTGGCTTGCAGTGACCAACCAGGAAGGAAATGAGTCAAATGTGGCCTCAGGTGGGTGTACAAAAAAAAAAAACAGATTTGCACCCAGCAAACCAAGCTCCCCCCCCCCCCCCCCCCCCCCCTTCTTTTTTTTTTTTTTTTTTTTTTAGAATGTATTTCTTTTACTCGAGTTTGCAGCCTTCCAAACCCTGCAGGCACAGCACAATACAATGCGGGAATATAAACAAAACTTGAAGCAAAGTGGCCGTAACATTTAATCACAGCCTTTGCAGTGGCCTTGACTACTCGTCCTCACAGAAAAGGCCTTCTTGTCTCCAAAGAAATACAAGCGGGGACATTCAAGGCCGGGGGTGGGAGGTTGGCCAGATGAATCAAAGTGGAACGAGCTGATGTTAAAAAAAAAAAAAAAAAAAAATTGCTGAAGAGAATCTCTTTAAAACCCTCCTGTTGTATGGCAGACCACACTGACCTACTTTAGAGTTGAAATGTCTACATTTTAAAAATACTGATATCTCCTTGAACGAATAAACATTTGCAAAAACATAACACACATTATGGAAAAACGAAAACATATTTTCATAGCTAAAACACCTCTTATCGTCTTGCAACATTCATCAGTCATAAAGACTCCAAACATTTTGATCACGTGATCACCTTCGCATCGGAGCGCTCGAGTTGACCTTTTGTCACCAACCACTTCCTGTAGCTGTGGCGGTTCGTCAGTGTAAGTGCACCCGGCCTCGTCCCGCCACAGGAAACAGGTGTCTCACGATCGCGCTGAACACATACACACGGCTAAAGTTGTTATACTCTGTTAGTGACTAGTCTACAAGTCCATATTCTTGTATTAAAAAAAAAAAAGCCTGACGATTAAATATACATCGTGTGAAATGTACTTAAGCACAGAAGAAAAAAATAGATTTTCCCTGAAAGGATAACTGGAACCGAAGTGACATCAGGTCCTGCATGAGCAACAAGTACTAAAGACAACCTAAGAAATGCAAAATTAGCTCATGACACCAACAGGAAAGAATGCAAATCCCTTGATTTTTAGCTTTCATATTTGTGTGTCCAAATATGTTTGTTACAACACAATATGTTAAGGCCACCGCTCCAAACATTGAATTATGCTTTTTATCCTCAATAATCAAAGTTGTGCTGACTGTAAATTGCGCTTGGGTGCACCTTAGTAGTGACAGGGGCTCCTACCAGGGTGCTTAATTATTTTATGCCTTGGGCCTCTTTGCTGAATATCCCACTTTCCTATGATGTCACCAAGGCGGAATCACCCATGACACCTTCCAGAAGGAGCTGTGGTGTTACGACCCGACGGCGGACGCATGGTCACGGCGGGCGGACATGACGGAGCTGCGGGGCCTACACTGCATGTGCACGGTGGGGGATCGCCTCTTCGTCATGGGCGGCAACCACTTCCGGGGCAGCAGCGACTACGACGACGTCCTGGGATGCGAATACTACAGCCCCGCCGACAACCAGTGGACGGTGGTGGCGCCCATGCCGCGGGGCCAAAGCGACGTGGGCGTCACCGTCCTCCAGGGCCGCATCTACGTTGTGGGCGGCTACTCGTGGAACAGCCGCTGCATGGTGGACATCGTGCAGCGGTACGACCCTGAGGGGGACGTGTGGGACCGCGTGTTTGACATCTTGGAGCCTCTGGGCGGGATTCGAGCCTGCACCATGACTGTTCATCTGCCGGAGGGGTCGGTGGATGAGGCTCAGATCCAGGAGGGACCCTTGCCCACGGGCGAAAACTGAAATTTGGTAGGAATCGAACAAAATCTCTTTCTTTGAAAGACCCTGGAAGTAGTCACTTCAAATCATCATGATAGACTTGATGACCAAATTTTATGTGGCTGAGAGCAAGTGGCTTCAGGGTCTGAATTTTTTTTTCAAACGACCAAATTTTCACCAGGAGGAACATGCCTCAAGACGTTCCTAAAAGTGCCACTTTGAACCACAAGGGAAGACGTTCTACCATATATCTTTTCAAGCATGTTTTCGTGAGACTTTTTTTGTGGGTTTGCTCATGATCGACTGGACTCCCAAATTACAGACTGCCAAGTGAGTTTGTCTTTGCGGGCTGAACTTTCAACAAACTACCAAATGTATTTTTTGACCAGGAGAAAGAGAGCTCAAGATGACCCTGGATCCAAAATGGCAGACATGGCTTTTTGAGATTTTTTTGTGGTTCTTCTTATAATCAATACATCTACCAAATTTCAAATAGCCAAGTCAATTTAGCTTTGAGGGCTGAATATACAATAAACTGCCACATGCGCTGTACATTTACAGCAGGAGGATGAGGCCTGCAAGGTGACCTGAAAATGGCCACTTTGAACCAAAGGGGTAAACTTTTTGTGTTTTCAGGCATCATGTCTTCAAGGCTTTTATGGTTGGTGTACTCATGACAGACATGCATGCCAAATTTCACATTGCTAAATGAATTTGGCTCCAGGGGCTCGATTTTCAAAGAACTACAACACTTACATTTTCAGCAGGAGGATCATGCCTGCAAGATGACCATAAAAGGGCCACTTTGAACCAAAATGGCAGACTTCCTGTGTCTTCAGGCATGGTGCCTCAAAACCTACTTTTGTCGGGCTACTCATGATAGGCATGCATCTCAAATTTCATCTTGGTGAATGAATTTGACTTCAGGGGCTCGATTTTCCACGACCTACTAGCAACCTTCCTGCGAGATGACCCTAAAATGGCCACTTTGAACCAAAATGGCAGACTTTGTGTTTTTCACCATGGCTTCTTGAGACTTTCTTGTCAGTCTGCTCATAAAAGACACACATACCAAATTTCGCATTGTTAACGCGAGTCTATCTTTGAGGGCTTAATCGCCAACAAATTGAACGGCTATTACTGATCCCATTTTTGGGTGGTCACGCCCCCAAAACATCAAAGAAACGAAGCAATGTTCAGTCACCACCAACGAGGAGCCTCAGGGAATGCGAGCACCATGCTGATTTTCCCTCGGTTTGTAATCTCCTAAAATGAACGTCATTTGTGCAGCAGTGACAAAGCTCTGCACTGTGGCTTGTTTTGGCACGGTTACGTCCGAACATGAGCTCCGTCATGTGTTTGGACCACTGCTAGCTTTGTGGTCACAAAACCAGTGTTTGTGTCCATAAGATGAAAATAAGTTAGGTTTTTGGTTGTGCGACATGTTCCCCACCATTATGTCTTGATGCTAGGTGATTACATGTCAACATTATCGAGCCTCAATGTCAGAAGACTTCCGATTTGAGTCACTCAATGCCTAGTTGTACATTCCCATTCTGATACCATCACACCAACTTGCTAAGTGGCTCCAAGATAGGATTACGAATATTAACATTCGACTAATAACTGGCCTTGTCACGCATTCCCGACCCCTTTTTTTTCATGCTAAGTGGCTACATGTTAGCATGGCTAGTATCATTTTGTCATTTGTGTCTTTCTACTTTTGCAAATAAAACATGATGCTTTGAACATTTTTTCTTCATGCTAAGTGGCTACATGTTAGCATGGCTGGTATCATCATTTTGTCATTTGTGTCTTTCTATTTTTGCAAATAAAACATGATGCTTTGAACATTTTTTTAATATTTATATATATTTTTTTAATGAAACAGTCCCCCCCCCCCCACAATTTCCACATACACACATTCCATTACATGTCCTTCAGCTTAAGATAAGAGCGCAGACATCTGACATGGCCAAGGTCTGCAACCACAACAAAGAGAAAAACATTCAAGTCGGGCAACTTCATGTCCCTAGTTTGATTCTTTTTACTGAAAAAAAAGAACACATTTTAGATTAGGACACCACTTCGATATCGCTGTCCAGACAAACAAAAAAATTCCATGAAGGCCAAAACTCCCGTGGAAAAGACTCAACATGACATCAGCTCATTGTCTAAAGGCTTTTTCTTTGGCTTTTATGGAATAAGGGTATCAATGACGGCCAAGGGTGATGATGAAAAATTCAAGTTCAGGTTAGGTTTGTTAATCGGGGTCTCAAAGTAGGTTTTCAAAGTCAGGGTCAGGATTTATAAAAAGTAGCACATTTGAACATCTTCAGTTCTTTTTTTTTTTTGAACCTCCAGATTCCTGGCGGCTAAACTGAGCTCGGCCCCTCCCCTCCTGTAAGCATCCTCGTCCATCCTCCACATTGTTTGTCTTATAAAAAGCAGCCCAGCTCGTCTCACCTCAGTCCCGCTTTTTCTTCTTCTTTTTCGTTTGTATTCCTGCAGAGGACCTGCGATGTGTTCCCTGGATGGCGACGTGTGCGTGGTGACTGGAGCATGTGGCTTCTTGGGGAAAACGCTGATCAGGATGCTCTTGGACCAGGAGAAAAACCTCAGCGAGATCCGACTCGTCGACATCAACGTCAACCAAGAGCTGTTGCAAAGTTTGGAAGGTAACAAAAATTTGACTCGGGTTGTCATCTCTGTCTATTTCTATATGAAAAACAGATTGAAAATAAAGCTCAGAAAAATTTGAGAAGAATATACTGTATCCCTACAATTGTTCATTTTTGGATTAGAAAAAAAAAATCAACAGAAAAGCAAATTGAAAGAAAACAACATACGTTTGTTTTGTGTTTCAAGGGGAAATGAACAATTTTTTTTTTAATTTATTTTTACACCGACAACACATTTGGACGAATTCGGGGGGTGAAAAAAAATCAAACTCTCCCATAATCCAATGATTTTGCAGGAGAAATTAGAGCTCCTCTGCCTTGGCAGACCTCTAAAGAATTTTCTGCATTCCAGAAAGTCGAGGCGAGATCAAGCTGAGTGCGTTGGAAGGCGACATCAGAGACTCCGACTTTGTGAGGAAAGCGTGTCGGGGAGCCACGGTGGTCTTCCACATCGCGTCCATCATTGACGTCACCGACGCCATCGATCCCAGCGAGATCTACGGTGTCAATGTCAAAGGTGCTTTCCCATATGTAGTTGCTCGGCTTGGTCAAGGCAGCGCCCTCTGCCTTCGCTCAGTGCTCCTTTCTTCCTGCCAACACATGACACTCAAATGCACCACAGCAGGCACACCAGACCCAAATCTTTTGTTCACAAAAGCTGCTCAGTGTAGCATCTGATAATTCAGTCAAGCCCACGGCAATGGAACAAAAAGAGGAAGACAGACTTGAGTTCTATTGGCAGCTGATACAAACTTGCGTGCAGCATAACAGCTAAGTGCTGATACACCATATTTGCTTTAAACTCTGGGTTCAACTAAAAAGTTAGGATTTTTAAAACAAGTGTTGCGTGAAGCCTCAAGAAAACTTTTGTCCGGCTCCAAAATGCTTATAAAAAGATGCTCAATATTGCTGCAGAGAGGCTGACCAGAGCGGCAATGGAACAAAAACAGGAAGTGGTAAACTACCAAAATAAGGGTCTTTTTTTTCTTAGCTTGTCACAGTAAGTGTCAGAATAAATGGCCCAGAATAAATGTTACAAAAAATCCCAATGAAAGGAACTGAGCAAATTAAGAGTCCAGTATGCCTTAAATGACTCTGTTCCTTTTCAAATAAGTCTGGTGTGAAGTCCAACACCGAATTGGAGCTCGCAGGCCTACTGGAGCCAACCGAAATGGAGCAAAAACAGGGATCCCAAATCAGGCAACGTTTGAGATGTTCCAACTTGTATCTTGAACTTGGTTCACCAAAAGCTGGCACGTGGGTGAACCTGCCTTGGTGTTCCAGGGACCCAAAACCTCCTGGAGGCGAGCGTCCAGGAGAACGTGGCCTCCTTCATCTACACCAGCACGGTAGAGGTGATGGGCCCCAATATGGAGGGTGAGCCGGTGGTGAATGGCAACGAAGACATGGCCTACCGCACCCACCTCAAGTCCTCCTACAGCAAGACCAAGAAGGAGGCCGAGGACCAGACCCTGGGCTACGACGGCGAGGCCCTGCCGAACGGCGGGCGCCTGGCCACCTGCGCCCTGAGGCCCATGTACATCTACGGCGAGGACTGCCGCTTCCTGCTCAACCACATGGCGGACGGCGTGCGCAACGGCGACGTCCTCTACCGGATGTCCCTGCGGGAGGCCAAAGTCAACCCGGTCTACGTGGGCAACGTGGCGGCGGCCCACCTCCAGGCCGCCCGCTGCCTCCGAGACCCCGAGCGGCGGGAGCAGGTGGCCGGCAAGTTCTACTTCGTGTCCGACGACACGCCGCACGTCAGCTACTCGGACTTCAATTACGTCGTCATGTCACCGCTGGGCTTCGGCATCCAGGACAGGATAGTGGTGCCCCTGCGCCTGTTCTATGTCGTCTGCTTCCTGTGGGAGATGGCGTGCCTGATCCTGCGGCCCTTCCGCCGAGTGGTGCCACCCATCAACCGGCAGCTGCTGACCCTGCTCAACACTCCCTTCAGCTTCTCCTACGACAAGGCCAAGCGCGAGCTGGGCTATGCGCCCAAGTACACCTGGCAGCAGGCGCGAAGCAACACCACCCGCTGGCTGGCGCAGCAGCTGCCTAAACAACGAGAGAAAATATTTACCAAGTAAAACACACTCGCGCGGGAGTTTCAACATTGAAGAAAGAGGAGCCCAACTCCCTTGGTAGCCTGATTTAAAACGTAAAGAGAGAGACTAAATTGAGTTGAATTGCCCCATAGAAAGTTCATGTGGAATTAGACAAAACCAATTAAAACATTCAAAGGTGATGCACCCCAGGGTAGCCTAAAGTCAAACAAAGAAAAGAGTAAATTGAGTTTCTACAAAGAAAGAGTATGTTGAATTGAAACACATTAGTTTAAAACACATCAAAGCAGGGACATACAACTCGCTTGGTAGCCTGATTTACAACATAAACGAAAGAGAGGAAGTTTCATTTTAACTTTAGTCATTTGTTTGCTTTGACACATTAGAGCAGGAAACATTTTTATCTTTAGTCATCATTTATGATTTGGAAACAGCTGTTCGTAACTGCAACAACTTGTCATGTGGCAAGCGCGCGCGCGCGCGCGCACACACACACACACACACACACACACACACACACACACACACACACACAGAAGCTGTTGTGAACCCGGGCCAGAGTCCATTGATCAGCAACCAGGTCATGAAATGGCTGCCAGGCAAACATTTTCGTTTGCATAGAGCTTGAGAAAGGGCAGCAATGTTGTTGTCAAAAAAAATATTCATCATAATAATGCCACACTAATGGCAACATCACCTCCTTGGCAGAAATAATAATATAGTCATTTCACAGCAATTAGGAATACTGCGGTGGTCCAGAAGTATCATTAAAACCACTAAATTAGAATGAATTGAGCAAAGCCGACTAACTAGTGTTTTTACAACATGATTATGTGTTGTTAGTCACTATTTACTGATTGCAAAAACATTTAATCATTTTAAAAAAATCTAATTTCGTCAATATCTTTTTTGTGTGTGTAAAATTACGCATATTAAATGAATGTCAGTGTTTTATGTAAACATTTTTTCCCCAATGGATTTTAATTGACCAATTATACACAGATTTTTGTTTTTCATAGGCCAGCCCGATTCCTACCCCTGCAAATGGCCACGGTTCAGTGTGCAGTGATTTTTTTTTTGCCAAGTATCTCCAAATTTGCAAAAGTAAAAAAAAAAAAAAATTCCATTTTACTTTGAATGTAAGAGTACAACATAACCAATGAAATTAAAAGAAAATTACAGTATTAACACAAATAATGAATGTGTAAAATAATAACTTATGTATTGTTTATACTTTTTGACGCTTCTCCGCCACAGTCCAACTTCGCAAGGAATGCGGAAGCACTTTTTGTCGTTACAGAAATCAGAGCGATTTTTTTTTCATTATAAGCGCTCATGGTACTTCCTATTTTAATTTTTAAGTCATTAAAACAATGATTTGTTTCAAAACTCACATTCCGGTTGTCTTGTATGACCTCTTTTGTACCAATTAGTTTGCTGAGTTTGACACTTATTGCGCTGCTGTTTGTGTAAGCTGTCGACTGCGTGGGCCGCCATCTTATTTGTTTACCCATGACGTGTCCTTAAACGACCTATCAGCCGCGAGTTTCAGGGAAAGCCAACAACCAATCACGTTCGTACCCACTCCCCTTAGACGTGAATTACGATGCATTAAAACTGGCACAGATTTGTCATAAAACGCTCAACTGAATGTGTCAGTGTTGTTCTTAATGGAGCAATTCGTGATTTGGGTGGGCATCGGCGGGTCTATTGTGACGTCTTAACCGAAATCCGATCACCCTGTGCCGGCTTCACTGAGCAGCTGAGCACCGCTAAGCTCCCATTAACTGCCAGCAATGGCCCCCACGGGCAAAAGCGTCCTGCTGTTCTTCGCTCTTTTGCTGGTCCACACGGTCCAAGGTAGGTCACCTGTGCCTGATATTTTGCCCCTCTCGTAGACTTATTAATACGATATATTTATATAGCAATATAAGTAATAAAGTGAGCAATATCTAATAAAATATAGAAGATATATATTTGTGGCGGCAGAAAATACATACAAAAAAGAAGAAAAATACTACAAGAATTAATCCAAATAAAAGAGAAATTATCGCGTCATTCAATGCAATATGAAGTAAATAAAAATGTTATGTATCTTTAAATCTAATTTAAAATAAGTGTAAAACAAAAGAAACAATGTACAAGATTATAGTACAATGATTCTAATAAATACAATACAGATACTGTATTCTGAAACAAAATGCAAAAATTGATGTAAAAAAATGAAAATTACAATATAAATAAAAATAAAATTATTACAGTCACATATGCAAAAAAATCTAATACATATATTATAACGTCTTGGCTGTCCAATACGATATGAAATGAAATGTAAAAATCCATAGTAATAAAATGAATACATAACAAAAACATATAAACTTTCATTATGTTTTTAACTTCACTCTAGGGCTGATGAAAAGCCACATTTTAGCAAAGTATCATCATGTAAGAATGAACAGAGTCGTCAAAAAATACATTGTAATAAAAAATTCTATATTTAAATGTTCAAATAATAACGTGCGTAACTGCACTGGCGTCATCTTGGAGGTTCGGAGGCAAGGGCGGACGAGTGCGCCGACGTGAGCAATACCACCTGGCAGCAGTACCGCCAGCAGAGGCAGCAGCAAGCGCAACCGCGGGTTCGCTACCTACTGATGACCCGAGAGCATCTGGGCTGCGCGCGCCCCTTTCGCCAGGTTCCGGGAAGCTCCTTCAACGCCACGCGGCCCACCAAGGTCATCGTTCATGGATACAGGTCAGACGCCACGCCCTGCACTCTCTGCGCCTCAATCACACGCAGAACAAAATTCACAACCTGGCTTCCAAAAAATGTGCCCTCGGTTCATTGAAGATATTGCCATTTTGTGTCGATTGAAAAGTGGCGTGTCTTTGATGCTGTTTGCGCCTGCGCAGGGCCCTGGGCAGCAAGCCTACGTGGGTTTTAGATCTGGCCGAGGCGCTGCTGGCGGTGGAGGACGTCAACGTGCTGATGGTGGACTGGGTGCACTGCGCCTCGTTTGCGTACAACCTGGTGGTGGACAACTACAAGGAGGTGGCCCTGCAGATTTCCGTCCTCGTCAACCGGCTGCAGGTCACAAACGATGCAACCTTGCAACGCTTTTCTTGTGATTTAATTTTATGGCTTACTTCTCACAATATTGCAATTTTTTTTCCCCTCTTAACATCACATTTTTTTTCCTCTTAATTTATGAGTCTTCTTGCCACGTTTCCATTTTTTCCTCTTCATTTTTGCCTTTGTCCTCGTACCACTGTAGAATGTTTAGAGAATTTCTGACTCTCTTGAACAGAAAGAAGGATGCAAGCTGGAGACGTTCCACTTCATCGGCATCAGTTTGGGGGCGCACGTGGCCGGATTTGTGGGAACGCTCTTTGAGGGAAAGATCGGGAGAATCACGGGTAAACCTCAACTGCAATCTGCCAAGATTTTGAGCGCCATCCAGTTCTTTTAACTGTTGATGCTCACCAGGTTTGGACCCGGCCGGTCCCATGTTTAAGGGCGCAGATACCTTCGACCGTCTGGACCCGTCCGACGCGCAGTTTGTGGACGCCATCCACACCGACTCAGACTGTAAGAGGAGTCGTCAAATACATGCAGATCAATTGTAACCTTTTATGTCAATAGTATCGTAAATTGTGACAAAATAATGAATGCACTTTCGATTTGGAAACTACTAAAATAAATGTCGAATCTAACATTAACAAAAAAAAAAACAAAAAACGTATGGTACAAGTTCATTGAAGACAGACTTGTCTTTGATGTGTCAAAAACGCACGTGCTGATGTTGTTTTGTTTTGACCCGTCATCAGACTTCGGCATCTCCATCCCGGTCGGCCACGTGGACTTCTTCCTGAATGGCGGAAACGACCAGACGGGATGCTCGCGATCACGGTTTGCCTCTGGTGGGTTCCAACTTGCGCTAAATGTAGAAAATACCTTTTAAAAAAAGTTTTTTTTTTTTTTTTTTAACAAATCTTGTGAAAGGTACCAAAAATTGGATCTAAACCTTACTTTCTTGACCCATTTAAATGAGACTACTTTTTGGCAGCCCTTCGTAACATACTACGTTTTAGCATCCATTTGAACCTACATGCCGCTTTTGATACGCTACTTAAACCAAACCACTTTTGAATAGTCTTATGAATCCTACAACTTTTGGGGGGCCTTTTGAAGCATACCACTTTTTGGCATTTTCTGAACCGTACCACTCCGTGGCGCCCTCACTAAGTACGGTTGGCTCCCTTTGAACCATCCCACTTCTGCTACCTCTTCATAATCATGCAACTCTTGTCATCCTTTTAACTAAGCTCACTCTTTTTCAACCAGAACACCTTTTGTACCTTACATCACCATTTTTTTGGTCCCCTTCTATTACACACCATCCATCCTACTTGACAATCTTTTGACCTATCTCACTTTTTGGCACCCTTGTGAATCAACTCATGCTCTTTTTTTTTGGCACCCGTTTAAACCATACGATCCTTCCAAAACATTTTCACACATACTATTTGTTGGGGTACCCTTCCTTCTGAACCATATTCGACTTATTTTAGGCACCTTTTTGAACCGTACCATTTTTTTGTGTGGATTTGTCAGTTTTGGGCTTCATTCCAGTGTACGGCTATGTGATTTGCGACCACATGAGGGCGCTGCAAGTGTACATGAGCGCTCTAAATGCGTCGTGCTGGCTGAGCGGCGTTCCGTGTGACACCTACCAAAACTTCCTCCAGGGACGATGCCTCCACTGCGACGTCTTCCGGGGAACGTGTCCCACCATCGGTAAGTGATTCGCATCAAACTGAAAATAAAGAAGAAAAAAAAAACGGTGTAATCATTTAAAATATTCTATTATAAAAGTAAAAAAAAACAAAATAACAACAAAAACAGAACGCTCAAGGCCGAAAAAAAAATCACTAAAAATATTAAATTCAATACAGTAATCCTTCGTTTATCGCGGGGGTTACGTTCCAAAAATAACCCGTGTTAAGTGAAGTGCGTAAAGTACTCATCTTTTTTTTTTTTTTGGACAATTATGACGAAAACAATATAATATTGTATTGAATGAAACCAAATACAAAACCTTTTTTTCAGGTCCAAGCATTAAAAAAAGTTAAAATATAAAACTTTTCTTACAAACAACTGACAGTTTTTTAGAAATCATGTTCAGAATGTGTTGTCGACATTGTGGGTTTTGTCATCGACAAAATTTGGCAAGCTGTCCAGCGATGCAGTACACAATGCGTTGTTTAAAAAAAAAAAAAAAGAAATTACTGTACGTTCAAATAAATAACATTGCATTTACAATAAATTGCATCACAAAATAATAATGTTACAACGATGAATGAAAA